AGGCCGATGGAAGGAATGCAAGGGCGGGCGGCATACAGATCGGCCAATTCTCTCCTCCGTCACAAAACATTATCACTCTTCTGTCCTTCTGCCATGTCTCTCCCTCCCCCTCCCTCACTCTCTCCCTCCCTCTCCACCCTTTCCATCTCTCTCCCTCCATCTCTTTCCCCCCCCCATTCCCTTCCCTCCATCTCTCTCCCTGTCTCCATCCCCGTTCCCCGTCGCCCCCTTGATCTTAACCTCCATCTCCCATGCTATCCCCGTGTCCCTTTTTATGCCTCTGTGCTAAGCCCACTGATTTTTGTTCTGTCCCCTTAAATTTGCGCGGTCTCTCTCCCTGTGTGTCTGTGTGTGTCGTTGTACGTATCCGTTTTGTGTATCATAATGTCTGTGTGCGAGTCTTGTGTGTGTGTTTGTCTGTTTTTGTCTGTGTGTCTGTGTGTACGTCTGTTTAAGTGTGCGTGCCTCTGCATCTGTGCGAGTCAGTGTCTGTCCGTGTCTCTCCTTGTGTCTGTGTTCAGGGGAGCGTTCGTGTAGTGTTTAGCACGCTGCCCTACGAACCCGGCGAGCCGAGTTCGATTCCCGCTCACAGCCAGCACCAACACCGGTGACGATTATCGGAACCAATCCTGGGCCTTCCCTAGGTCGACTCAGCCTCAAATGAATACCTGGTAAGGTGTGGAAACATCGCCACTCGAGAGACAAAGGCGGCCAGGCGCGGTGCTGGCCACCCAACCCCTTGTTTGCCGTGCTGGCCTTTATAGGTGCTAATCTCTAACAGCACTTGCCACAACATTTTGCTGAGGCTATATGGGGGGATCTTTGTCTTTGTTGTGTGCCTGCCTTCCTGATCCCCACTCTCCCCCCCCCCCCCCCGCCTTCTTCTAGTCACCCTCACGCTCCAATAAATTTTGCACATTTGCACACACGCCCCTTCTGTCGTTTGCATTTTTTCGTTCCCTTAATCAATTCAAAACGTAACGCATTAAACTACCAGCGGTTTAAAAATATCGCTCCGCCCCGCAAGTACGCAAACGACGACGCGGCGGCCGGGCTACAAGCACCGCGGGGAAGGAAGCGAACCACCTCCCAACTCCCCCCAACCCCACGCCAACCCCCACTTTAAACCCGCCTCCGCCTATTTTTAAACGTCGGCGAGTCGAGCGCGCAAAACAATTTAGAACTTCGCGATGAGTGGTTATTTGATTTGTTTGGATCAGAACCGCGTAGATATAAACGTGCCGTCAACCCACCATCGCCACCCGACGCAGCCAATTGTTAAGGTGTGCTGCGTCAATGAAACGTGCCGATCAGCTTAACACGTAGTAGAGCTTTCGCGACCAACATCTATGATACATGTTTTTTGGGTTACATTGCGCAAACGTATAAATGTGTCGTTAAACCCGCCACCACCCCGACACAGTCAATTAGTAAGGTTTGTCACGTAAACAGAAAGCGCCAATTCGTTAACTAGTACAGCACACCGGTTGTGTGTTGGATGGAGAGTTAAAACCCCACGACAGCCATTGACGATTCGAGGAAAGGTCACGAAAGCCGAAGGCGTGGTGAGATGTTCAACTTTGCGTTACGCTGGACAGATGGCGGTGGGTCAACGACCCTCGTCGGGGATTCGGCAGAAACACGCCGAGGGCGCCCCCCCCCCCCCGAGCCACGAGACCCCCCCCCCCACTCGCTCAGACTCCAAAGGTGAATTTTGTATTTTTCTTTGTACGAGAACCCCCACCTCCTCCCCAAACACCGGGAGGTCGCCGCAGCCTGCTGCGAGCCAGAGCCCCCGTACCCCCTTTCGCGGGTTCGTTATTATATTTTTCTTCTTTGTTGATTTTTTTTTAAAGAAGTGCGGGGGAGGTGTCCAGAACGCTCCTGATTTGGACTAAAAGCACCCCCCCCAAACGGTCCCACGTGTACATCTTGCGTATCACGTGGCAAGGTATCCTTCCGCCTGTCTGTCCATCCGTACGTCCACCCGTCCGTCTGACCGTCCGTTGGCTCCGATTGGCTGAAATGAGGTCACTTTCACCGTTGCCGATGGCAACACGCAAGCGCCAAAAACCTGAACGAAAAATCATTCCGCGGATTCCATTTGTGTGTCTAGTTTGACATCTTAGCGGTGTACTTTATTTTATTAAAAATGGGGAGAGAAAAGAAAAATAATTCGATGTAAAGGTGACCAGCGACGGTTGATGTACGCGTACGTACGTTTCAACTTCTTTCGCACCGTACGTGGCCAATCGGAGGTGCGGATGATAACAGGGAGCAAATAATTGTCAGGTTAAGATCACCACACTGAAATTCAACGGGCTGTAAAGCTATGCGTCATATTTAAATGCTACTTTCAGCCCTTTGCCAATCCGCTGACGAGATAAAGGCCTGTCTACACTCTGTCGGTCATCGGGGTTTTACCATATTTCGCCATACTGGTCAGTGCGAGTTGGTGAAAAAAGTGGAGGGGGGGGGTGGCTAAGAACCGGTTCAGATACGGCTCGCCTCTGATGTTCACCACGACCCGCAATCGAGCTCGGGTCACCGGGGTTCGTAGTGCCATGTGCTAACCACTGCGGCCCCGACCCCTCGGCCCCCCAGGGCAAGCAGTGTACGATAATTATTAACCTCTCACGTCCTGCGATGGTGTTTTGCTGCTCCGTTTGCATCGGCAGCCTTCATTTCCCATTGGCCAAGGCCACCGCGTGTCATCCAAACCCCGGCGACTCTGCAACTCTACCGCCTCGCGGGAAGCGCGACTCGCACCGCACACGGCGCTGAAACCGGACCGAGCGGCAACTGGCAAAACAACAAGTCCGTTCACTACATTGAAAAAAAAAAAGTAACAAAAGATTGGGCATTAAAGCAGCAATTCTTAGCGATGTCGTACGAACCAATTGCATCCCGCCGCCATTTTTTTAATCCCACACGAAACAAAACGTCGTGCTCCCCGAGCGACGACCCCGGTTTTTTGTTCCCCCATTACCCGCGTGTCAATACCGCACCTGGGCTGTTCCACCACAAGAGGTGACGCAGCGGACAAGACACCGCGCCCACCCCGCAGAATTACGTTACAGGGTCGGATGAACGCCGCGGCACACGCTATGCGCGCCGTGTACGGAGGGCACCACCGTGCGAACGCAGCACGCGGGGGGGAAAACGCTTGCCGCATACCCGTGCATGTGCAAACGCACACGCGGGGCGTAATTTGTTTTTGAATTGCGCCCATCGGCCGTGAATGGAAAGGGCTGAGCCTAATGAAGCCTGCTCCCGCTCTGCGCGCACTGGCTCCCCAAACCCCCTCGGTAATTAACAACATAAATTTTCACAGCGGCGCCAAATTACCACGCGCATATGGGGGGGCTCCACGCTCCGCCCTGGCATCGGGCATCATTATCCGGCATCAAGCGGGCGCCGGCCACGCGGATATTGGCACTAATCAAAGTTTCGCTCTCGCCAATTACGGCTCCTTTAAATTCAAAGCGGGGGCCTTAACCGAACGTTTAGCACTCACGCAGCGGGGATAACGCCGCCGCCGCCTCCAATGCTCGGGCAAAAATCCAGCCTGGCGGAAACCCGGCGAGGCGAGGCGAGCCGATCCGACCGGGATCGTCGGAGGGAAGGCCGCGGTATGAGACGCCGGGGACGATGATGGCGGCGGTCAGGTGGTCAGGCGGTCACCTGTGCTTGGCTCGTCACGCCGGCCACGACATTTTAAAGCCCCACCCCACCCATGCTTTGCTGACACGGGCGAGTTGGGATCGTCGTGTGCCGCTGCCCCCCCTCGACCCCAACCCCGACCCCGCTCCCCCCCCCTCCCCTACGGGAGGGCCGCGCGAGGTCGATCAATAACCCCTGGGAGTGCAGGGGGTCGCCGGGCCGTGCGTCCCTCGGGAGACCAGCGGCAAGGATCGCTTTTGATTTGTCGTACTGCTGCTGCCCCTCGCCACCCCACCAGGATAATCCGCTAGCCCAGCGTGAGCGAGAGAGGGAAGAGAGAGAGAGCCGGCCAAACTGGGCCAGCTAAACGGGGCCGCCCAAACAGCCTGGCTCCCGTGGGAGATGAGCGGACAACACGCGTAGCTGGAGGGCGCTTGATAACGATGACAACGACAAGGACGATGATCGTGACGGCGACGCTGAAGACAAACCCGGGCCAGTACGCCGATAAATCACGAAGCATGATCACGCTCCGAACCCCGCCAGGTGGTCTGTATTCTTTGGCCGTTCTTGATTCACTTGTGTACGCGTGTGTACCGTTGAACTTCTTTCGCAACCGAATGTAGCCAACCGTGCTAATCGGAGGTGCGGGAGGGGGGAACGACAACAAGCTGAATGCAAATAAAAGGGTCGACTCTGCGACTCTCGGTCCCCACGTTCGACCAATCCGGCTGCGCCGGACTTGCAACGGGGTAAGAGCGAGGCGGACTGTGGCACCGCGACGCTACGAGGCATGGTGACGGCTTGAGGGCCTTCACCCAGCAGTGGATAGATCATGGCTGATGATTTGATTTAAAAAAAAAGTCTACCCGTGACAAATCCTACGCCTGTCGCTGCGTTTTATTGTTACTGTTGTCGTTATTCGACAAAGGCGCGAGTCACGGTATTCGCATGAGGCCCGTGACTCTGTCGCTCGTGAGAGAAGCTCTCTTCCGACGGCGACCGGGCCAAAATGGCCAATACGGTAACAAGCAAAAAAAATCAAGGAAGCGCACAACAACAATGAAAACTGTTAATGAATCCGTAAATCACGTCACCGGCCCTCAATCGTACCGATCCCTCGATTCGCCGCGGCGCTTCAATCGTCCCAGGGCCTACCCACTCGGCTGCGGCGTGACACGCGAGACCCGAGGCCAGCGGAAACGGGCAGCGCCGCGCGGATTGACTCCCGAGCGCTGGGCGCCAACCGAACGTCGGGACGACGCTCGACAAAGGGGCCGCGACGGTGCGCGTGGACGCGCGTCGCCCGCGCAATCGAACGACGCCCTCGCGCTCACCTCGGCCTGGAAACTCTTCAGCAGTGGGGCCACCAGCCTCTTCAGGTCCTGCAGGGAGACGGAGAGGAGGGGGGGGGGGGGGGGGAGAGAGAGAGAAAGCGCGTGGAAACCGTGAGCGGGAAACGCAGCAGAGCCGGTCTCTTCGGAACAAGGGTCCTTCAACGGCGTCATCGCGATTCGGGCGGCTAGAAGAGTGCGCATCGCCCTCGTGCCGTCGACGGGTGGCGGCCACCTGGGTTCAAATCCCAGTGCTCGCGCTTCACATCAAGCCCGGCCGTTGTAAGCAGCTGCTTCTCGAGACTTAGCTTTGTCACCGCAAACTTCGTGGGGAGGAGCGGGGGGGGGGGGGGGGGGAAACCTCTTTCTAAGTTTTTCTTTTAACGCGGCCAAATCCGGCACCTCCAAGGACTCATTCGGCAGACGGACAGGGGAGCGTACCACCACTAGCTTCTCTGTCTTATTTCTGAAAACAGTTGCTGAGTAAGGGCGAAGAAGACGGCGATGGGAGGGAAATCCGAGGCGGAGGCAATGCGAGGTGACCGGGAGTGTTTTTGATCCGCGTCGTGCTGGTGGAACGCATGGTGTGGATGAGATGAGGAAGGGCAGACTCTTCTTGTGAGGCAGACACTCAAAGGATGGACATCTGCTTCGGGCCCCGCAACGTCGCTTGTGCATCACGGAACGACGTTGGGTGCAGACGAGCCCACGGCAGCTTAAATAATTTTTGCCGTTGTCCGCCTGCCCGACTGCGAGCAGCACATCGCAGAATCGGAGTGTTTTTTTTTTTAACTAGCGGAATCCGGTGAGCTATAAAGCTCTTTTTCACAAATGTCCAAGAAAATCCTGCGGTAATGGCGCGGATTTGCACAGGTGTGGCGGCGTAGCTATGGAGCGCACAGGTGGAGCAGCTTCACAGAGTAGAGGGAGGGGTGGTGGTGGATGGGGTGGCAGGGGTGGGGGGGTGCTTATGGAATTTGACGGGGTGCCCACGCCGACCGTGGTATACAACAACACGACCACTCTAACGCGAACCACGCTCGCCTAATCAGACATAACTACTACGCGACCCCGAACCCCGACCGCGCCAGGCCCCCGCGGGCCCGCAGGAGGGACGCAGGCGCCGCCGGTCTACTAAGGGATCGTGGAAATTGGACACGGGAGAGGGGGCGGTAGCCAGTTGCCGGTTCCATTTCGTCGTTCCTCGCATCGGCGGGGGGGGGGAGGGCCCAGGCCGACCGCCCGCGTAACGCTCGCTTACGCACGGCCGTGTTTTTTTTTTTAACAACAAACAGCGGCGACGTCGGCGCTCCCGCCGGTATCCCGTGTCGTGGAGGAGGTGAGAACCCCCTCCCCCCCCCACCAACGCCAGTATCGAGTGATGCCGCACTACGCTACTACGCTTTCCACTGAAGTACGCGGTGGAGTATAGATTATTTGGGGGGGGGCATGTGGTTTTAACTCCCTCCCGAGGCCATTCCTAAATACCCGGTCAGGATTCTACATCTCGTGCCCCACATGCCACCTTTCTGGGAAGGGAGGGTTCGGGGGGGGGGGGGGAGGAGCAGCTGCCCTATTTTAGAAAGTAAAATAAAATAAGGGTGTGTGTCAACCCTGCTTATTATTACTCTGTCTGGATGTATACGTCTCATATCTGCCAGTATGTCTGTTTATCATCAAGCTACCAGTTTATTTGTCCATCTAGCTGTTGTCTTACATAATCTGTTTGTATGCCTGTCCATCTATCTACATGTACGTGTCTATTGTGCCTGTGTGTCTCGATGCGTATCCATAATGCGTGTCTCCATGCAGGTGCTCGCCAACAGCACTCACCCCAAAGCCTTGTTTGTGTACCTATGTCCGACTGTTTACTACATTAGGCTTCCAGCAATTGTCATTGGCCACCCACTTCCTCCCAAACACGGTGTGCCTCGCGAGAACCTTCGTCCCGTCTCCGCAACATCTGCACCATCCTTTTGCGTTGCGACTTCCACAAATCGCACACGATCGATTCTCGCGGCACGACTCGGTGCAACGTGCCGTGTGCGTTCGTGTCTACGTGAGTTTGCCCTTGTGTCTGTCTCTATTTGCTTGTCTGTGCCTGTCTGGCGCTATATGAAGCCTCTACGTGTGTGTCTGTCTGAAGGTCTGTCTGACCATGTCTGTCACTGTCTGCCTGTCCCAGTCTCCATGTCCATCTGTCTTTCACCGCGTCTATCTACATCTGCGCGTGCTTGCCTGCCTGTGCCCTATTCCTCCACGCGCTGTCTGCGTCTACGTCTCTCCACGTCTGGACGTCACGCTCGTCTCCCCGTCACCGTGCAGCTGACGACGGGGGCGGTCTCATTCTCCATGTCCCCCGCTCTCCCTTCCTCCCTCCCCACTCCCCCCCTCCACTCCCCCCATTTCCAACCTTCCACCCACTCAGACGAGGGATGAAATTTCATGCCACTTTGTGTGCGCTGCCGATCACCTGCGGGCATGTGGGCTCTGACTGCCATCCCAGCCGGCCTCCCACTGGCCAACCCGCACCCACCATCATTACAATTCCCCCACCCTGCCACCACCCCTCCCCCCCTTAAAAAAAAATCCACCGCCAACCGGCTCGTCGCGATAGCCGACAGGCGGTTTCAAAATTAATTTATAAATGTGGGTATACAGTCACTGCGCTAGGTACACGGTTAACGAATGGCATCGCGGTAGGTGGGTGGGTGGGTAGGCACGGCGGTACCGTTTCTACGCCACACGTGCCACCCACCGCACTACCCTGCGTACACCCCGGCCACATCGGGATGTCGGAAGCTAAGCAGGTTTGAGCCTGGTCGCTCGGCCTAGGATTGAAATTCCAACCAGGTGCTGCCAGGAGACAGGGCTGGCTGCGAGGTGGCTGGGTGATGGCAAACGGATTTTTTAATCCTTCTCCGCAGCGCTTGTGAGCGTTCACCACCATCTCAAATTGTTAACGGTGGAACTGGCCAGGCACCCGAATGAGGATCCGTCCTGAGTCCGTCTCAGTGAGGCTTTCCTGCATACCAAAGGGGACGATACTATTATTCCTTCATGCAAAGCTAAAGTTCCCCACCCCACGTATGGCCGTGCGTGGACAATTGCTGTTTGTGAGCGCCCGTTAAGGTGTGCAAGGGGGTGTGTGTAAACCAGCACCCATGCCTGGCTGCCTTTCTATCCCCAGTGCTCATATTTAGACGCAGCACCGAACACTCAGGTTTACACACGGCTGGGCCAGGGAAAGTTATGATGGTAACTCATTCCCGAAGTTCGCTGTGTGTTGCCAGGAATCAAACCCAGGTTGCCGATTTCGCAGTGCAGCGTGTTAATCGCTACTCCACCACTCCCCCCTCTTACACGCACACGCAGGTATACAGTTCAAACAAAACAAACACTTGGGGGTTGTGTTGGCAGCAGTTTTCAAGGGCGAATTAAACACTCTCTATACCACAACCGAGTCAAGAACAGAAACATTATCGTGTGCCTACGAGGGGGTGCGCGGCCAGCACCACGGCCAGCCGCCTTTGTCTTCCTTGTGGCAATGCTTACACATTGCACCAGGTGCTCATTTGAGTCTGAGTCGACCTAGTGGAGACCCAGGACCGGTTCAAATATTCGCCCCCTATTATTGGCCGTGAGCGGGAATGGAACCGGGGTCGCCAGATTCGTAGCGCAGCGCGCTAACCACTGTACCGCCGCTCCCCACGTGTGCGCGCACACCCGCACACATGGACACCCGCACACATGGACACCCGCACACATGCACACCCGCACACATGCACACCCGCACACATGCACACCCGCACACATGCACACCCGCACACATGCACACCCGCACACATGCACACCCGCACACATGCACACCCGCACACCCGCACAAATGCACACCCGCACAAATGCACACCCGCACACCCGCACACATGCACACACGTACACGCGTAACAAGCTCACGCCGCGGCAGCAGAAACAGCAACCGCCGCCCCACGCGACCGCGGTCCACACGACGGTTGCCTGCGCATGCAGGGCGAGCGACGTGTATCAAGTTTCCAGTGATTTGCATCGCCCGCCCACAGGGGAGGAGAGCAACATCGTCGGGGTTTACGGCCGCGTCTCTCACCTTGGGGAGTCCGTACGGCGGATTCCACCCAACTTCAAAGACAAAGATCCCCCCGGGGTAGCCTTCACGGGCTGTTGGGGCAAGTGCCGCGAGCAGGGAGCACCAATGAAAGCCGGCACACGAGAGGGGCCGTGGGTGGCCAGCATCACGCCCGGCCGCCTTTGTCTCCCCAGTTGCGATGTTTACACACCGCACCGGGTACTCATTTGAGGCCGAGTCGACCTAGGGGAGGCCCAGGACCGGCCGCAGATAATCGTCACTGGGCATTGGCCGTGAGCGGGAATCGGAGCGCGGCACCCTAACCGCTGCGCCACCGCTCCCCACCCGACTTCACGCACGCGCACGGACGTACTCTCTCGCACACGGTTCAAAGGACGGCCTTGCTTAGCCAGGATAAGACCGGACTGGCTGCTGCCAGTGCTGTTTTAGCCGAGCGCCTATCGCGGGTTGGCATGCGAGGGCAACACGAGGATGGTGGGGCGAGGCGAGCAGTCGCACACAAACCCGGGAGGAGAGTGGGGGGGGGGGGGGCACCGGGCACCTTTGTCTCTTCGGCGCTTGATGATCACGGCCACCACACCGCCCAGGTGGAATTGGGTGTTAAACAAAATTAGGCCGAGCGGACCTAGGGGAGGGCCAAACCCGGCTACTTATATCGAGCAGCCGCTGCACGTGTGGAGCATGAGTTACAGAGGTCCTAAAGCGATGCAATGAAGTCACTATCAATGTTATAGCGGCTTACCACATACACACGGTAGTGGGTATTGCACCATAAGGCGTTGCATTGAATAATCGATTAATATTGATTCTTAAGCACAGGGTATATCGTGTGAGCAGGATTAATGAACCTTTCAAGATTTTATTTTGTATCCAATTAATTTTTTTATTCAATGGCTACTTGTGGGAACCCTGCAGCCACTAGAGGCGC